TTTTAGGAATGTGTGAGAGCTTTGGGCAGCAGTGAGGATTTCAAATTGGGATGAGCTTAAAGCGAAGTGTAAGTCAGTAAAAATAGTTCTCCTCTTCAGAGTTGGCAGCCACTTTCATTTGCTTCCAAAAGACCAGAGATGTGGAAGGAGAAAAGTCAGGGATGTTGGACAAGAGTGAAGTGTAACCCTTCCTGTGGACAGGCTGGTGCCTGGCTGGAGTAAAGTTTAGTAGCAATACACATTTCTGTATATTTCTTTATTTTATCATTTGACTTGCAAAGGTTATGATTTCCTAGTTCTGAAAAGAGAAATCAATCCTGTCACCTTTAAAAAAAATATCGATTCTCTTTCTGTCATTAGCCTCAATCTCTTTTAAAAATCTCAGAGAAACCATAACAACAGCAGAACAGACCTGGAGAGGTGATCCTCATTCTGCAGTTCCTCCCTGGGATTTCTGTGCAGCTCTCCTGTGTGCCAGGATGGGAAAAGTGAACTGAAACACAGCAAACACTGGTGATAAATGGCTGAGCTAACACATTGCTGTGATGTATTGCTCAGGCCAAGCTTGTAGCGATGCTGATGTGGTGTAAAGAACATTTATGTGCCGCCCAAGGGCCTAGGGCAAGGGGAGTTGAAAAATAAAGATCCAAACCTCTGTCAGCATGTGCTGAGTTAGGAAACTTGGGAGAATGAAGCAATATGTTTATTGGAAATGCTTTCTGCGAAGTTTGCATGGAAGTATTTCAAAACATTCTGAAGTTTTGGACTGTTCTGTGATGTGTGGCAGCCAGGGGTGATGTCCTGCTCAGTGCCAGGCTCTTCTGATGCCCTTTTTTTGGAATTGAATACCCCTGGATGTTCTCCCACACAAATTCCTCTTGTTTCAGCAGTCACAGCCAAACATTGTTCTAATAACTGTGTGTGTTGCTGTAAAGTCTTATCTTTTAACACCACAAGTGCCAGAACTGTGTTTTAGAAGCTAAATCCCATCAGTGAACCCAGGGAAGAATCACCCCTCGGCCTTGGCAAAGCACCCTGAAGCCAAATGCTGCTTTAACCAGCTCTCCAAAGCCTCGGGGTGGCCCCGGGAGTTTCGTGGGGCAGGGACCGTGTGTGCCTGGGGCTGTGCAGGGCAGGTGGGCCAGGGGCCAGGGCAGCACTGCCAGCCCTGGTGAGTCATTCTTCCTGTCACACGAGCCCTTCCTGCTCTGCTAATAGGCACTTAGCTGAATTTTAGATGCCTGGGATCATTAAAAGGGCTGGAAGGCATTTGTGTACCTTGTCCATTAGGAGAAAAATCTGTTTTCTATAACTGTAACCTCCCACAGCCTCAAGCTCAGCTTTGAGAAGTAGCTACATTTTTTGTATCATTACCTGAGTGTGATGTCTGAAGGCAGCAGTGAGTTCAGCTGATTTTCTCCCACACGACACTGGTGGAAGAACATGTGTTTCTTTTGACTATTGAAAGAAGAACCAGTGGTAGGAGTTAATATTCCACTCAATATCTGTGTCCTCTTTTGTTTCATCTCTTCCAGTGTTGTCACATCTAGTGCTTTCCTTCCCCCTCCCTGGTGACTGTGCTCTCAGGTTGGATCTGCCTTCTTTCTTACAGACATTGGGGGTTTCATTTCTGCCACCCCCTCACCTGGAGAGCAGGTAGCACAGGGCATGTGGTGTCCAGAGTGTCCCAGGTGTGTCAGAACTTTTTCTTCTCTGTTAACAGACTTTGTTCTGCATAGGCAGAAGGAAAAAAAGGGAGAAGTATTCAATTCTTGTGGATATAGATGGTGGAGCATTTGCTGAGAATTCAGAGAGGACAGAGCTGGGAGAATCATAGACTCCCAGAAGGGCTTGGGTTGGAAGGACCTTAAAGCCCATCTCATTATCCCCCCTGCCCTGGGCAGGGACACCTCCCACCAGCCCAGGTTGCTCCAAGCCCCATCCAACCTGGCCTGGAACACTCCCAGGGATGGAGCAGCCACAGCTGCTCAGGGGAGAGACTGGATCAGCTGCTTGGACTGTGTTTCACTGGGCTGTCCCTTCAGTTCCCCTCGTGCTCTGTGCAGGCTGGTTTGGATGTCTGTGGCACTGCTCCCTTTTCTCAGTTTTTAAAGCATTTTGGAATAGGCAATTACTTCACAAGTTAGTTTGCATTTTCTCCAAATGGCTGAGCTCTGTGGGGTTTATAAAACAAGACATTTTTGTTCCTTGGCAAGGGCTGGTGCTGAGTGAGCTGTTTGGGGAGGTGAAGATGCATCGCTGGGGTGGGAGTTGCTGTGGCTCATCGTGTCCTTGCTCAGTGCCCTGAGAGCTGCAGGTGAGGCAGGTCCTGCCACCTCCACCCTCTGCCCCCACAGCCCAGGGAGGGATTATCTGCTGTGGTTCACATCTGGCCAGGGCCCAGCGTTTGGGATGTCTGTGCTGACAGCCGCGACAGCTGTGCCTGGAGCTGCTCCTGGCGGAACACGGATTAAATTTTCATCTGGATCACTGAATTTCTCCTTCTTCAAGGAGGTGCCTCAGCTTTGTGCCACGTGGGGAGCTCTTATCCAGACAGCTTAGGGTTGACCAGCTCCTTCTCTTATTTTTCCCACCTCTCCTGTTTGGGAAATGTGCATGGGGAGAGGATGGCGATGCTGTCTGAGCAGGTTGAGCTGCAGCTGAAGGTGAATCACAGAGCAGGGCTGTGATGCTCTGTGGTTTGGATGAAGTTGGACTGGGGGACAGAGCTCCTGAGGTTTTTTCCAGTGCTTCCTAGTGTTGTTTCTTCCCATTTCTCCCTCTCAGCCAACACCTTGGACCTGCCAGCAGAACCACTTGTGTCGTCACCTGCTAACCCAAGTTAAGACTTTCCTAGAGGACATGGGTCCAATCTGATCTGGAACAGATTATAGATTATAGCCTTTCACTGGTACAGAGAAGCTGTGGCTGCCCCATCCCTGGGAATGTTCCAGGCCAGGTTGGATGGGGCTTGGGGCAACCTGGGCTGGTGGGAGGTGTCCCTGCCCATGGCAGGGGGTGGGATGAGATGAACTTTTAGGCCCTTCCAACCCAAACCAGCCTGTGATTCTGTGATCTTTGATCTTAGGCAGCAAAAGGAATAAAACCCCAAAACACACAAGGGGTGGATATCCAAGTTCTGCATTTGGAAGTGTGAGCTGATTTGTTTCAGTTTTCCCTTATAAGACATACAAGTCAAATAAGAACATACCTCAACCTCTTCACCCTCTGTGTTAAATGCTCAGGTAGGACTTGAATGGCAACATGTCTCTCCAAGGAAAAGAGAGCAAAATGTCATAGATGGCTTCAGGGGTGTGGGTGTGCAGGAGGGATAGCTCCAGGAGATGGTGTGCCTGCTCAGGCCTGTGGGTTGGTCCCACGGTGCTTTTTTTGAGGTGAGTTGTCCTGCAGAGAACCTCAATGTCTTTGCTGCTGAGAGGATGAGAAATGGCAGGGAGGTAAAAAATGAGATGGCAGCTGTAACCTCCTTTCTGGTGTGTTGTGCTTTGAATTTCTGGCCTGGTACTGCTGCTTCCCTGATCAAAGGCACCGCGGCACACCTGCCTCGTGCAGCCGTCCCTGCATCCCTGAGAGCTCTGTGGTTATTTATACAGAGCCTGTGGGAAGCACAGAGCACAAAATAAACTCTGCTTCTCAGTCATGCAGTGTGAAAGGTTGAAGGGAAATGGCAAGATTCATACTTACGTGCATCCTTATGTAATGTATCCATGGAAAAACCGTCCTCAGCAGAGCCACAGGCAGCACTGGAGCCTTTTGTTGGGTTTCTTGTGGTGTTTCTTAGACTAAACCAGCTGCAACTGCAGCTCCTAAGTGGTGTGAGCTGAGGAGGGGCCAGGGAAATGGAAAGGTACTGCAAAGAAAGCTGTGTGCTGTGCTGTGCTGGAGTCCAGGTGTGCGAGGAGAGGATGTAAACCCACAGTCAGAGCGAGTTGGCACATTGATCATTCCAAGTGGGAGTGCCTGGGGGGAGGCTGAGCAGCTGCTCCTGTCCCGTGGTGCTGCAGCATGGTCTGTTGTGTGCAGTTAGAGCTGCAGGGACAATGCCACAGGACTGGAGAGAAAGCCCTAACCTCCTGTGTGTGTGTTCAGCTGCAGAATGAAGAGGAGCCAGGGGAGGCTGCAGCGGTGGTGAACGATGCTCCTCCGCCCTACAGCAGCATCTCTGCAGACAGCACAGGTACACTGGCCTGGAGGGAGTAGCTGGGTTGGCTCTGCTGCTCCTAACTGCTCTCCTCACCCACAGCTGGCACTGCAGCACCTTGCAGGGAGCAGGATTGATCCAGGGAGCTGTTGGTGCTTGTGGTTTAGGAGATGCATTTTGGCTGCTTTCATCTGATGTCATCCCATCAAGTGGTGTTCAAGTTACAGCTCACAGTGTTCTCAGTAAATTGAAGACAGCTAAAAATCAAAGTGCCTTGAGGATTTGTGGTTCCCCTCACATTATTTGGTGTTTGGATGATGATGCTGTGCCCCTTCCCAAAAGGACTTGTTCCTTAAAAGGGATTCAAGAATTCACTCTTCCTGCACTTTCCAATAAATAAGGACTTGGCCATAAGGATTGTACTTCTGAATCATCCCACTGTCATGTCACTAGTCACTCTGATAACCACTTAATAACTACTTGGATCTGGGAATGTGACTCCTGAGTGTGCAGATCAGGAGAGACACAGCACGTGCTATTGGTTTGAGCATGAGTACAGCCAGGCACGTTCAGGTCGTGTTCTGTGGATTGCTGACTGCTGGATAAGGTGCTTCCATGCTTTTCCCTTTCTGCTTTGGGGTGGCAGGAGATGGGAGGGAGGGGAGGGGACAGGGAGACAGACTTCAGCAGCCGTTGGGGTGTTTGAAGTCACTTGGGACACTTCCCATCCCCTGCACAGTGTTCCTGAGGACCTGACATGTTGCTCCTGTTCCACTGTCTCTGTGCAGCCTATTTTGACTACAAGGATGACTCAAGCTTCCCCAAACCTCCATCCTACAACGTGGCCACCACCCTGCCCAGCTACGACGAGGCCGAGAGAACCAAGGCTGAGGCCACGATCCCCTTAGTGTCTGGGAGGGTGAGTGCATTGCCTGGAGGGCTCCTGGGGCAGAGTTTCGGGTGTAACTTGACATTTTTGTTCATAATGGGGGAGGATTTATGCTTTTTAAGCTTTCTGGGCTGGTGATTTTACACAGTGGCTAATTTTTTTCCCTTTAGTTTTCCTGAGCAGGGTGATGATGTCAGGCAGCTCAGTCCTGCCAGCATGTGCTATCCAGATTAGCTTGGCAAGCTGACAGAGGGACTGTGATGTGTCCCTGTGCTCTGTCACTGGTTTTTGGGGTTTGCGTTTCTTTTTTTAAAGAGATTTAGGATTAATTCTTCAGCTGTCTGGCATGTCTACCCTTGGTACTCCTACTGCTTACTTAGTTGGCTTTTCCAGAGGTCAGTGCAGCTGATAGAAGGATGATAAAACCATTCTGACAGAGTAATTATTTCTTCATGTTTTAATTTCTTTTCGGTTTTTTTTTTTCAACGTTATCTCTTGTTCAGCCTCTTCCCCCACCCCTGCCAGCATTAGATGTCCACTGCTCGTTATACTTCCTCACAGAAGCCAAATTCCTTGCTGAGATGATAATTGTTTTGATGAGGAATTCTTTGCAGTGGGAACAAGAACATGCTGGATCTTGACTATGTTGAAATAAATTTCATACTATGTAGATAATATTTCATTCCCTACATCATCTCAGGAGGAGAAGCAGGATTTTTTTTCCTGCTGGCATCTGTAGCCTTTTGGGTTTAGGATTCCAGCCCTTTCTGGAAGAGCCACACACAGAATTGGGTTTGCTGTATGGACTGGAGTGACCTCAATCCAATGTGGTGTCTGTCTCTGATTTGCAGGATGAGGACTTTGATGACACTGACCAGCTGAGGATAGGGAATGATGGCATTTTCATGCTGACTTTCTTCAGTAAGTACAGGGTGGAACAAACTTCTGGAAAGTGACCCTAAATAGCTTAAGTCACGCTTAAATAGCACCAGGAAAAACCTGTGTGCAAGGGGGTTATGCTTTATTTTTTCCCTTGGAATATAAGTGTGTTTGACCTGTTGCTTTTCTCCTGCTTTCCCAGTGGCATTC